AAACATATAACAAGGACATATGCTCAACTATGTTCATAGCAGCCTTATTTATAATAGCCAGGAGCTGGAAAGAACCCAGATGTCCTTCAACTGAGGAATGGATTCAAAAAATGTGGTATATTTACACAATGGAATATTACTCAGCTGTTAAAAACAATGAATTCGAGAGGTTCCTAGGTAAATGGATGGAACTAGAAAGTATCATCCTGAGTGAAGTAAGCCAATCACAAAAGAACACACATGGTATTCACTCACTGATTATCGGATATTAGCCCAGAACCTTGAAATGCCCAAGATGCAACTCACAGGCCACATGAAGCTCATGAAGAAGGAAGACCAAGTGGGGGTGATTCAGTTCTTCTTAGAAGGAGCAACAAAATACTCAAGGGAGCAAATATGGAGAAAAAGTGAGAGACAGAAAACTGAAGGAGGGGCCATTTGAAGACCTTTCCACCTGAGTATCCATCCCATGTGCAGTCACCAAAGGTAGATGCTGATGTGGAAGTCAGGAAGTGCATGCTGATAAGGGCCTGATATGGATGTCTCCTCAGAGGCCTTCAAGAGTCTGACAGATTCAGAGGCAGATGCTCACAACTAGCCATTGAACTGATCATGAGGTTCTCAATGGAGGAGTTAGAGTGAGGACTGAAGGAGCTGAAAGGGTTTGTGGCACCATGAGGAGAGCAACAATACCAACCAACCACAGCTCCCAGGGTCCTAACCACCAGCATGGGAGCACTTATGGAGGGATCCAGGGCTTCAGCTGAATATGTAAGAGTGGAGGGCCCTGCTGGGCACAGGTGGAAGATGAGAGCCTTGACCTCATGAAGGCTGGACGCCCCAGGGGGTGGGAATTTTGAGGGTGGGGAAGTGGGAGTGGGGGGGGTAGATGGGGGTTACATCCACAGAGAAGAAGGAGGAGGGGTAAGGGGATGGGGGGGTTCCCGGGTGAGTGGGGGATGGGGTAAGGGGATAACATATGAAATGTAAATAAAATATCTAATAAAAAAAAGAAAAAGAAAAAAAGAAAAAAATACAGCTACTTTTGTTAATTATTTAGCAAAAAGTGTTACTAATGTGTTGAATATACAAGAGGATTTAGATAGGCATTTGGATCAACGGATTGATGCTCTTCATCCTGTTCAAATTATTGAAAGGAGGTTCAGAATTTAAGAGTAAGGAGTCATCTCGAGTGTCATGCCAAATACCATTGGATTCATGTTAGTTTTAAAATTTACAGTGGTAGTCATTATAATTAGGAAAAAGTTTAAAGACACTAGCAGCATATTTGGCATAATTCTAACAACTCTCTGGATGTTTTAACTTTACATAGTGAGGTTATGAATTTCAAAAATGGTGCTCTGCTCAGCATTGATGCAGTAGATACTGCTGATAAAATTACCTGTGGCCTGAGGTCAGTATTTCTATTTTGGACAAACTTCAAGAATGGCATATGTAGCTTGATCATGCTAGTCCTTTTTGTCCTGGGAATACTTTTATTCCTGCCCATTGTGTTAAAGCTTGTCTTTAAAAACATCAACATGTTGGCAGCCAAAGTACATGGCTTCAACCTGAAAACTGACCCCCAGACAGAGTTATTAAATTAACAGGCTGGTAAGCCAAGAACTGGTAAGATTCTGCACAGAATTTTACCAACCTAAGAATAAGCATTGCTTTTGATAATCCATATTCCATGATGAGTACGGAAGGCATTCTTGTCAGAATGACCTAAGAAAGGCTCAGTCTTCTTAATGAAATAAAAAGTGGGGGAGCAGCCTTTGGGGCTACTTGGCAAGAATCTGACATGGGCCAAGGACAAGGAAATAGGCTACTTGACAGGAATATGACATTGGCCAAGGACAAGAAGTAGGCTTCAGGCAGGAATCTGACATTAGACTAGAACAAAGAAGTTATTTCAGGCAAGAATCTAAATTTTGATCTAGACCAAAGAAGTAATTTCAGACAGGAATCTAAATTTTAGGCTAGAACAAGGAAGTAGGCTTCAAACATGAAAATGACTTTGGGCTAGGAAAGGGAAGTTGGCTTAGATATTTTGGTCATCCTGATAAGCCTTTAGAAACAGTGATCACAATCACAGAAGTGTTCACTGAATTTTGTTTATTGCCTTGCTTGTTCTTTGACTATCTGTGTTTATTGTATTGCTTGTTCCTTGACTATTTGCATCTATTGTATTGCTAGTCCCTCAACCTATAACTGACCTTAATACTTGCATGTAATTAAAATGATATAAAGGCAAAAAGGAGGGGGGATGGGATAAGGGCTTCTAGGGAGGGGAAATGGGGAAATGGAATGACATCTGAAATGTAAATAAATAAAATCTCTAATTAAATGAAAAGAAAAGAAAAGAAAAGAAAAGAAAAGAAAAGAAAAGAAAAGAAAAGAAAAGAAAAGAAAAGAAATATTCTTGTCTACTTCTGGTACTTTTTCTTTAAGCCCTTGGCTAAACCTTGTTTGAGAAAATTTTTTTTTACCCTAATTCAAGGCTGTATAATTCTCCTGTTCATTGGTGGTATTAGCATCATATTTACCTCATATGAGAATATGTTTCAGTAGTCATAATAACTGCCAACTCATTAATTAACCTCCTTACTTGATACTTCTTGGAAACAAAGTCTATGTCTTCAAAATTCTTTTCATCAAGATATTTTGAATGACTACTCAAAACATTAAATAAGTGGGATCCCATCAACTCTTTAGCTAATAAAAGTGCTTTGATTTTTCTTAATTTGTCACTATTGTTGCTATTTTAGACTGTATAATATAATAACTGAGAGGATACATATTGTATCATTCAAAGCATTTCATATAATTTTCTATATTTTTAGAGATAAACATTTACAGTTTCTGGGTATTTATTCAAACAAATACAGTCAATATACAGTAAAATTGAGATTCTATCTGAATGAAGTTTGACTTTTAAAAATGTTGCTGATTTGTGTTGAGAAAAATAGAAGTTTCCTTCATTCACAACCTAAAATCTCATTACTTCTTAGTATGAAGCAAGTATACAATTCATCTTCTTGTCTAGGTATTCAGGCACTGGGCTAAAAATAATTCCCTGAAATGACTATATGAAAAAAAACTTCATGAACAGAAGTAAGTTACAGCAAATATTTGTCAAATATTTGATTAAAACACAGGGTATATTGTAGAATGTCAGAAAGAACCAAAATGTCCTTTGGCAAACCTCTTAATTGCAACTACAGGCATATATTAAGAGTTATTATTACCTTTATTGAATGGTTTTACAGACAAGTAATTTGAGCAGGAGTAACGTATTTTCCATAGAAGGATGTCTCCAAATTTTTTGAAAAAAATACAAGAAAAGGATGGTTAATAAAAAGGAAATAATTTAGTTTATTAGCAGCACTCTGTAGAAGTGACCATCACCAACACATCAAAAGATCTGCCAAGCAGCCTGGAGTATAGGAGAACTGTACCATTGTTAAAGAACTTTGTCCTTGCCACTAGAGGATCTATCTCCTTCTTTCTCTCTCTTTTTTTTATAAGTGATATTATCTAGCAATTCACTCTAGGTATTACTCTTAATGATTTTTATCTTGAAAGACATATTTAGTATGTTAGAAAAGAGGCCATTTCTACCCATCATCACATTATCCACAGTGAAATACTATGCACATATGTACATGTGTTTACTAAGTATACATATACTCTTCCTAAAACTGAGTATTATAGAGGGAAGAATTTTAAGGACATGGATTTTAAGTAATTTTAAGTATATGGATTTCTTTTCATTTTAGAGATGATACAAACAAAGCCAAAAAGTGTTCATTGGCATTCAAGAGCATTCCATAAATAACCAAAATATTCTTTAATGAACATGGCTTTCTCTATTTAATAAATTTTGCTTCTTTGTGTTTCATAGTTCTTATGTATTATGTTTTAAGAACTAGTGTTCCTAGGAATTCATAAAAACTTCAAATTATGACTATTATAATATATTCCTAGCAATTGTTACATTCTGTTTTTTGCATAGCTACAATTAATGTTTCAATAACAAAATACTTAAGTTTACTGGTACTTACAAAGCAGTAAAGATTGCAGGAATAAATAAACTATGAAAGACATAACTTAAATTTTAGATTTTCCCATAAAGTAATTCCCATAATTCCCATAATGATATAAAATTACTTGTGAGCATTGCCCATTTCAAGACTTATTTTGCATTGACACTGAAGAGATGAAAATAACTTTCCTGAAGCATAAAGTAATATATTAATTTGTATGCATTTTCCCTTTCTTATCACCCTTCTATGTTCAACTTCTGTATGTGACTCTATATCAACAAGCAAATTTGTTTACATATATACATGTGTACATTACAGGCTAAAACAGACATACATAACAGAAAACATAGGGTTTTGGTATGTTTTTCTGAGATTGTATGAGCTTTCTTATAATATGTAATCTAAGAGCATTTACTTTCATGCAAATTTTATGACTTAATTTTTTTAGTGCTGAATATATTCTATTTTAAATATGAAATTAATGTTCATTTGATGCACAGCATTGTTGGTTCAATTTCAGTAATAAACATGGGGGTGAAAAAACACTGTATCCAAGAATGGAATTCTCTTGGTATACATGCTCAAGACTGAAAAAAATGAGATATGATAGTTGTATATTTCATGTTTTAAACAACTTCAAAATGATTTCTACTATGGCTGTATTCATTTAGACTGGAACCACCAATGAATCTCCAACATTGGTTGTCATATATCTTCAGCATAATCATTATAACTGAAATGAAAGTATATCCCAAAGTAATTCAGATTTGCATTAACCTGATGGCTAAGGATGTTTATTCCTTCTTTAAATAGTTATTTTAAAGCAATACATGTTTATAGTTCAGAAAACTGTCAATTCATCATTTCATTTAATAATTGACAGATTTATTCCCTTGATATTTATTATTTGTACATTGATTTTTACTTTGTTTAAGAACAATTACATGGTGCTCACTTCAGCAGTCTATATATTAGAATTGGAACAATTCAGAGAAGAGTAGCATGGCTGCTAAGCATAGATGGTACACAATTAAGTGAAGCATTCCATATTTTTAAGGACATACACACTCACACACACACACACACACATGTACAAACCAACACCACCACCACTACCAGTAACAACAACAACATAGTAGGAATTAATAACTTTTAGCCATTGATATCTCTCATTACCAATAGGCTCATTTCTCTAATTAAAAGACATACATTAACCGAATGGATGCTAAAACAAAATCCATCTTTCTGCTGAACACAAGAAACACACTTTGAGATTAAAGACAGAGTAAAGGATTACCTCAGAGTAAAGGATTGGAAATAGATTTTCCAATCATATGTATCTATGAAACAAGCTGGTATGGCCATTGTAATGTCTACAAAATAGACTTCAAAGTAAAAGTAATCAAGAAAGGCTGGAAAGGATACTTTATATACATAAAAGATCAATCAAGATGATAAGTCAATTCTTGTTCTGCTTGTTTGTTTGCTGTTTCTTCTATGATTCTTTTTATTTTTCCTCTCAAGAAAGTTTTTTTTTTCTGTGTAAATCCATGGCTGTCCTGGATATTTCTCTTTAGGTCATGCTGGCCTTGAACTAACAGAGATCCATCTCTTCTTTTTCCTTTCTTTTTTTTCCCACCGAATCCTGAGAGATTCTGCTTCTGTTTTCTAAGTGCTGGGATTAAAATATGCCAAGCAAGACCTTAAACATTTAGACACCTCTGTTTGTAAAAGAAACATTACTAAAGCTTAAATCAGATACTGACCCTCACACTCTGATAGTGAGTTACACCAATACCCAACTCTCAGAATTGAGACAGACCATGGCAGGTCATCTAAACAAAAACTTAACAGTGAAATTCTGGAGCTAACAGACATTGTCAACTAAATGAACCTAACAAATATCTACAAAACATTTCATCAAAACACAAAACAGTATGTACCTCATAGAACTTTTTCCCAAAAGGACTGCATATTTGGCCACACAGCAAGTCTTAAAGAATAAAAAAAATTGAAATAACCTTGTATATCATATCAGAGTGCCACAGATTGAAGCTAGGCTTTTTCAACAACAGAAAAACAAACAAACAAACAACTCAAAAAACAGAAAACAAAAAAACAGAAAGCCTACCAACTCGTGGAAACTGAATAACTATCTACTCAATGATAAATGAGTCAAGAAAGAAAGTTAAATAAGTTAAAGAATTTCTAGAATTCAACAAAAATGATTGCAAAGAATACCAAAGCTTTTGAAACACAATGAAATTAGTGCTAAGAGGAACTTTTATAGCACTAGGTGCCTACATTTTAAAAAATGGAGAGAACTCATACTAGCAAATTAATAGTAAAAATAAGAGCTCTAGGTCAAAAAAAGCCAGGTATACCCAAGAGGAATTGACTGCAGGAGATAATCAAACCTATAGCAATAATCAATAAAATAGAAAAAAAAAGAACAACACAAAGAATCAATAAAACAATGAATTCGTTCTTTAACAAAATCAACAAGATAGACCAACTCTTATACAAAATTGCTAAAGGATGAAGAGAGAATATCCAAATTAGCAAATTAAGAATTGACAGGTAGAGCACAGCAACACAGAGTGATAGTGCAAGAATCAATAGGTCATACTTTAAAAATTTATATTCCACAAAATTGGAAAATACAATAAAATGCATAATCTTCTCAATATATACAACTTACAAAGTTGGGTCAAGATCAGATCAACAATCTAATAGAACTATAACTCCAATAGAAATAGAAATAGGCATTAAAAAGTCTCCCAACCTAGGAAAGATCCAGGCCTATGGTTATAGCACAGTATTCTACCAGACTCTCTATGAAGAGTGAACACCAAAACTACTCAAATTATTTGCCAACATAGACACAGAAGGAACACTGTCAAATTCTTTTTATGAGGCCACAATTACCCTAATATGAAAAGCAGACAAAGTTTCACCAATGCTGGAGAATTATAGACCAGTTTCCCTTCTATACATAAATGCAAAAATACTCAACAAAATACTCACAAACTGAATCTAAGAATATATCATAAAAATCACATATCATGATATCATGATCGAGTAGGCTTTGTTCAACATAAGAAAATCAGTCACTGTGGCACCATATAAACAAATAGAAAGTACAAAGCCGACATGTTTATCTCACTAGGTGGCAAAAAAGTCTTGGACAAAATTCAACTCCCCTTCATGATTAAAGTCTTCTAGATTAGTGATACAAGGAGGATACCTAAACACAGTGAAGTCCATTTATAGCAAGCCTATAGGCAACATCAAATTAAATGCAGAGAAACTCAAGAAAATTCCACCAAAATCATAAACAATACATGTCTGCCTACTCAATATACTATTGAACTAGAATTTGAAGTTCTAACCATAGCAATAAAGACAGCTTAAGGAGATCAAGGAGATACAAGTCAGAAAGGAAGAAGTATCATTATTTGCATATAATATGATTTTATATATATACGTGTGTGTGTGTGTGTGTGTGTGTGTGTGTGTGTGTGCATGCATGCATGTGCGTGCATGTGAGCCCATAGTTTTGACCAAGGAAATCTTACAGCTGATAAACATCTTTAAAAATGTGACTGGATACAAGATTAACTAAAATATAAATTCAGAGCTCTCCTATATACCAGTGACAAATGGACTGAGAAAGAAATAATAGAAACAGTACCTTTCACAATAGCCAGAAACAATATAAAATACCTTGGGGTAACTCTAGTTAAGCAAATGAAACACCTGTATGACAGGAACTTCAAATTTTTGAAGAACAAAATTGAAGAACACATCAGAAGATAGAAGGATCTCCCATGCTCATGGATCAGAAGATTTAACATAGTAAAATTGTTGATTCTACCAAAAGCAATCTACAGATTCAACACAATCTAGGTGCCCCTCAACTGAAGAATGAATAAAGAAAACAGTACATTTTCACAATAGAGTATTACTTAGAAGTTTTTAAAAATGGCATCACATCATGAAATTTTCAGGCAAATAAAATTGGATGGAGTTTAAAAAAAATAACCCTATGTGAGGTAACCCAGACAGAGAATGAATGTGTATTCACTAATAAAGGAACATTAGCTGTTAAATAGATAATAATCAAGCTATAATTCATTGATCCAGAGAGGATAGATAAAGTAGAGGAGTCAAGGGGGTCACAGGAATCTCCCTGTGAGGGGCAAACATAGATTTAATGATCAGACAGAAGCAGGCAATTAGATAGGGGAGGGTTGGAGAGGAAGACTGCATAGAAAGATAGCTAGAATGAGGGGGGCACTTCGGAATGTGTGGAAACATAGTGCAGTGGAAACTTAGTCAAACATATATATATATATATATATATATATATATATATATATATATATATATAATGTATATATATACATGCCAAGGCAATGGTGGCTCAGAACTTTTGGGAGCAGCCAGCCAATGTCTGATTTGACCTAAGGCTAACACAAAGAGAAATCACCCATACCAGACACTGTATCCCTAAACAATAACCAGAGACTAGGAAAAATTAACAAAATGATTCCTAATGATATTCTGTTATACCCATAGATCAGTGCTTTATCCATCTATCATCAGAGGCTTTCTCTGGCAGCAGGTAGGAACAGGTGCAGGGACCCAGAGCCAGACATTATGGAGAGAGAGAGAGAGAGAGAGAGAGAGAGAGAGAGAGAGAGAGAGAGAGAGAGAATAAATTGGAAGTCCCCATCAATTTCCTCCCATTAGAGCTCAGAGAATCACCCAGAAAAGGAAGCAGAAAGGCTGTTAGAGCAGGGGAGATGGAGAACAACATGTGAAGAAGACCCTCTAAATCAACTAAGTAAAGCAGATAAGAGCTCACAGAGATTGAAGCAGCAAGTATAGTGCCTACATGAGTTTATACTAAGTCGTCTACATATATACATATACTACAGCTTTCAGTCTTTTTATGGGACGCCAAAATGTATGAGTAAGAGGGTCCCTGATTCTTGTGCCTTCTCTTGGGACATTTTTCATTCTCTTGTGTGGCCATGTTCAACTTCGATATGGTAGTTTTTGTGTCATCTCATTGTATTTTCTATTATTTTGTCATGTTTGGTTGCTATCTCTTAGAATCTTGTTCTTTACTAAAGAGAGAGAGAGAAAGGGATGAAGTGGATCAGGAAGTGTGAAAAAGTGGGAAGAGTAGAGAGAGAAAAAACTATAATCAGGATCTCTTTTATGAGAAAAGAGTATATCTAAAAAATATTGAAATATATAAAAATTGCTACGTATTGAAAAAATTGGCTTCATAGCTAACGGAAATAAAAGTATAACTCTCACTGCCATCTTTGCAGGCTGCTAAATTAACACTGTATACATCTCTATTTATTGAGCTTTGAATAAACTTTAAAATAAAGAAGCATCCTGTGCTGTTTGGAAGAAAAGTTCCGTCATCCTACTGAGCCTCAGGATGCCAGCACCAGACTGCTCACAAGCTTAGTGCCAGTCTGAGGATTAGCAGCTGCCTTTAGCAGACACATAGTGTTAACGCTGAGGAACTTGGCACGCTTTAAATAGATCAAGTTCTGTTTTAATTTAAAGAATAATTTCATTAAGCAATGTTATTTAAACAAAACTAAAAGCTCTCATCATAAGCACTCATGTGCAATAAATGATCAAAGCTATAGCTATTTAGCTTCTATTTGCTAAAAATGCCAAGATAATATTTTTAGCAAAAATTTCCATTTCATTCTTAGCTACAACTGTGGAGGAAGTGAGCCAGCAAAAAAAAAAAAAAAAAAAAAAAAAAAAACCAGTTTCTATCACTTTGCCAGAAATAAGTATATTTGCATACTACTTGGAAAACTTTGTTTCTTGCCTTCAACTCAACATATAAATAGCATAAATAAGTATTAAAATCTGTTAAATCAAATAAAATTACCCTTCATATCCTTGCTATCATATTGAGCGACAGCATCTTATAACGTTTTGAATAATGTTATTACATGATTGGCATACTGGAAGTGTGGGGATAGCAGCATTTTTAATGTCATATTTTTAGTA